ACCTCCTCGGTGTTCAACCATTGATAGGAAAACAAGCAACAAAAGAAGTAATTTTGAAGAGACTAAAACAAGGTGTGTCAGTTATCCATTTTGCTGCTCACGGCAGTGACAAAAATGGCCAGATCTTCTTGGCTCCTTCTAATCCTCAGACGAATTCGTGTCCAGCAGATGAGGAGGACTGCATCTTGACCATAAAGGAAGCACAGGAGAGTGGAATTCGTGCTCAACTGGTTGTACTGAGCTGTTGTCACACCGGTAAAGGTGACATCAGGTCTGAAGGAGTGGTTGGAATTGCTCGCGCATTTCTTGCGGCTGGAGCACGTGCCGTTGTAGCCTCCCTTTGGGCAATTGACGACACAGCAACAAAGTTCTTCATGATAAAATTCTATTCGAATCTCAAGAATGGAGAGAGTGCCAGTAAAAGTCTGCAGCAGGCAATGAAAGAGATGAGAGAAATAGAGGGATACAAGGAACCGAAATACTGGGCTCCTTTCTTTCTTATTGGAGACGATGTTACCATCACAGTGTAATTGAAATCAAGTTTAATTAAATATTGTCATTACTGGAAAACACCATCATGACTATGTAATCGAATATTTCAGCTCAGATAAGGTTAATTTTCGAGATCCAGTTTTCATTAAGATAAATGTATCGTGACGCTTTCCAATAATATGTCGAGATTTGCGTGAAAAAGAGATACGAATATAGGAGTTGCTCTATTTGCATAGTATAGTGTGCTTCTCAATAACTGTAGTAATTGACGACTTTCCATACTCAGGTTCATTGACCACGAACAAACTATTGAACCGAGGCGTCAAGGTACAGTGAACATAAAAGAAATGATTTGTGTCAGTGTTCCTTGACGCCTCGGTTCAATGCTTTGTTCCTGGTCATTGAAACTGAGTATGGAAAGTTGTGAACAGAATTGACGAATTTAGCATAAATTAGCTTATGCTTCGAGATCCATTTTTTCATTAAGATGTAAATGTACCGTGAGTTAAAGAACGCTTTCCAATAATCTGAACTTTGCATGCAAATGAGATACTAATATACTAGTTGCTATGATATTTACAACAAAAATCAGAGAGAAAACGGTGTTCTTTTTAGCCGGAAAAACATAAATCAATCAAATCAGTGTGTAATCAACTACATGTAAATCATGTATTATTTGTCATAGTCAATCTAGAGATGCAAACTTAGTGTGCTCCTCATTAATGTACATATAATAACGTATTTTATTGTGTATAAAGACAAATTATAGCGGAGCTTCCGCGCGGGCCAAAGGCCCGCGCGAGCGAAGCACCATAACTAAGGAAAAATGGTAAACCCATGGAGCTGAGTTTTGATCAACCGACACAGGAAGCCCAGTTGTCCGTCCGTCCGTCCGTGTACATCGCGATTCTGATTGGCTAGCTTTTGACAAGGCGGGAAAAGGAAGCGCGCTCGCGTCAACTTTTGAAACAACTTTTTTCACCTCAACGACATTTGTTTCTTTACTTCTGCGCCAAAAATGTCGGAAAAACAACGCGTACGCTTTTTATCGGAACAAGAAAAGACAAGAAGAAGAAGAGAAAGAGAACGTCGAAGAGGTCTTAGTGAAGAACAACGCAGGCTTGAAAGGGAGAGAAAACGCGAGTATAGACGAAACATGCCTGAAGAAAATCGAGAAAATGAACGCCAAAGACAACGATTATTGAGGGAGAATTTCACAGAGGAGAGTTGACATATTCTCCGACGATACCGTGTCGGTATGTTAGATTATGACTATTTTAATAGTAAAAAGTACTTAAAAGTATGGGAGCTGTCAAGCGTTTTTTGATGCTCAAATATCAATTCTACTACTTTAGGAAACACAAGCAGTTTTAAGTTTGGTTTTGAATTTGAAAATCTTCACCTGACCTCAAAACTTCTCAATAAGGATTAAATCATTTTGTTGACAATGAAAATACGTGAGAATTGTGTGTGCAATCTACTTTATAATCTTTTTTGACACAGAACTACTCGGATGTTTTAATTTAAGTCCTATGCATTTTAAAAAGCTGAGAGACTTGATATTTAAGCTTAAGCTATTTAAAAATTCAGATTTTCACTCTTTTACTCTTCAATGAACTGTCCACAAATGTAGGAAATGTTATGTTTGGATACTGGCAAGCAAAGAATTTGAGAAGTTGCTTTAAAAACTTTCATTTATATTATGATCATTTGATGATTCCTTTGTTTACAAAACTGTCAAATGTATTATCATTTATGATTGATCACTGTATGATTGAGAAATATCAACCAAAAAATGTATTGATTAGTGTTATTCCTGTGTGATTAAATCATTTTCATGTTTCCTGAATGATTGAAAAACCATCAAAACTGTCAAATTGCATTAATCATTTTTTATGATCACTGTATGATTGATCAACCACCAAAATGTATTTATTATTATTTATCATTCCTGTGTGATTAAATAGAAGATATTACATGATCGCATGGAAATATTGTGCTCACTCGATAGATATAAATTCAAATCTTCAAGATAAAATTTATATCTTTAAGCAACAACTGTAATGTTCTGTTTATTAAATGATTTTGGTGTAAGCAAAAAACTGTAACATAATCATTAGAAGATCAAAAAGTTTGAACATTTGAACATAATTATTAATTTATGATTTCTGCATGATTGAAAAAACCAAAACTGTAATGATTGAAAAAATCCAAAAAGTTACTGTCAAAATGCACTTAATATTAATTTATAATTCCTGCATGATTGAAAAATGTCAAACTGTCAAAATATATTAATAATCAATATTAATTTATGATTGCTGTAATATTATTTAGTGCGAGCACTCTACTAGTAAGGAAGTTTTATTTTGTAAATAAACTAAATTATGTTTTTGATAGAAAGATTAATGTAACATTATACATGGCGTACTCTTCATAATAAATTGTGCATTATCTGAATGCACACAGTATTACAAGAATTCAAAATGAGCTGTTTTCTTTACATATTATATATCACTACTTTAAATCGACAAAGCTGAAGAAGAAAGAGTTTAATTTAATGTAGTGATATGAAAGTTTTTCGTTTGCCAAAATANGCAGACAGACCAGGGCCACAAATCCTAAGATTTCTACAGTTTTCCATTCTTATCTCGATTAGAAATATCATCTATGAAGAAAAGACTTCGAAAGGTTGTTACTGAAAAATTGAAAACAAGTTTAAAGTCATATTTTGAGTCTTATTTGGACGAACGAAACTCGTCGAAGTCAGTAGTAGCCCTGACTTGCCAAGCAGACTTCAAAACCTACTTCATGTTTACTTGTGAAAGAAAGCGTACTAGTAGTAGACATTCTCAATCAAAAAGTAGCTGAAAAACTCAAACACAGAAACATTTCATAAATTCATCCCATAACTTGTTCTGGCATGGAATATTCAAGAAAAAATGACAAGCGAAACAGCTTTAGTTTTCTGCAAGAAACGGCGTGCAAGAAACGGCGAAGGCCGCTCAATTTTTGTTTACGTAGATGAACTGATCTTGACAAACTTTAAAATGTATTACACTACCATGCAGGTATTTAATAAATAGTATTTTAATAATTAATTGTGACGTTATATTTATGAGTTTTGGGGTATTTTTTCGTTTGAAAACGTTGCTTTTATCGAGTTAAACTTAACTAACTTAAGCTTAAATGTGTTTTTGTTTTTGCTACTTAATTTGCAAAAAATAAAAATATTTTGCTTCTTGAAATCTAGAGAAAGTGAATAGACAAGTTGTTGGGAACTAAAACAATTAGATAATAACTTTTGCCAGGGTTTTACACTGATTTTGTGAGTAAATTGTTGAAAAAACGCAAGTGTTTTAAGGTAGCTTATCGGGGCGTTGAATTCAGGTTTCTCAGCGTTGAATTCAGGTTTCTCACCGTTGAATTCAGGTTTCTCACAGTTGAATTCCACTTGAAATACCCTCTCATCCGGTTGACGTGTTGACCAATCAACGCACGACTTTAAAATTGAGGTATGAGATTCTATCGAAAATAACATAACATAGTACCATGGTGCACTCAATAGAATTAAAAATGTTGATGGTCAGAATATTTGCAAAATGAATTTGTGAAAATTTCCACACCGCACGAATATCGATACGAATACTAAGCAATTATAAAGTCACATTTAGGTATCGTATCATACCAGCCTTAACTGAATAGCATAAATAGAGAGTGTATATACTACACTCATCGTATAATGACTTGCTTACATTGCGTAACACAGTAGAAAACAAGACAAGCTACTAGTGATAGTTTAACTTTACTTAAAATATTTTGTTGAATTAACGCCACACTTTTTTGACTGTAGATATGTATATAGTGAAATAAAGATTGTAAATTCAACTACTATAATTGTTTCATCCAGTTATCTATTGTCGACACCATGAAGATGTTTAGCACTATACAAAGAAGACTGCAAGTACACACTAGTTGGACTTGAGGAGACAAGAGATCGAGTGTTTGAAACGTTTGTTTGTTTTTAACAAAAGCAACCAATGCTGGAGCTCAGTTAAGTGAACCATCTAAGGCTATTATTTCCCGAGAAAGGAAAATACAGAGCAATCCCGCAGAAAAAAAGAGAAATGTCCGTGGTACAGTCGATCCTAAAGTCTCTTCGTGGGATAGAATAAAAGACTTCAAAGGTGAATATCTTACTGTGACGTCTGGAAAACTAAGATGTGAAGCCTGTAAAGAATTTCTAGCTAAAAAGCTCAGTTAAAAAGCTGACTATAATATGATTAGCCACAAATATGTATTGCATGAGTTTATTGAGTTACTACACATTTATTACAATAGACCCCTTGCAGTTCATGGGAATGCAGCTCCAACTGGAGGACAAAACAATAGATTCTAGTTCCCAAGAGGATAAAAATCTTTTGTTTTGTCCTCCAGATGAAGCTGTTTTGACGTCACATGCAAGGGGTCTATAGTACAGAATTTTATAACATTCATGGATTTTATGGACTTTTACATTATATTTCATATTAGTATACTTATTGTTATTGTTCACCTATTTATGTGATTCTATTCGATTAAACGGTCTAATTGATTAAAAACAATAAACTTTATGTTTAACAACTTTTGGGCAACTTTTTGATTTTTTTAGCAACGTTTGGGCAAGTTTTTGGACTTTTTAGGGCAACTTTTTGAACTTTTTGGAGCAACTTGTGGACAGCACTAATGATTCAAGTTCAAGTTAATTGAGTTTATTCTGATTTTATATAGTTTCTTCAAAACACAAATATTGTCATTCGAGTTTTATTGTCTAGATACGCTACTAATCTTCCTTCTTTTGTTGGCTGTCTTTTATACACAAAGTCAAGCGTGTCATCAATGCGTCACTTATAAATAATTTTCTATGTGCATGTAGTCCTATTGATTGTTTCCTATAACTGTAGCCCGCTGTGCGCAAAATGCAAATTCACACACAGAATTCCATACATGTTCCAACTCAGTTATGAAAATTATGTTCAATTGAAAATAAAACTTCAAAAATTGTACACAGAGTTCAAAGATAAATGACTCTTGAAGAGTTAAAGGAAAAATATGTTAAATTTTATATGTAATATTCACATTGTTTCATGTTGACGTCATGGATTAATGAACCAACCAATGGGAAAGCAGTAGTTACACTGCAAGCTGATTCGCACTTCCYTGTTCGGAACGAAAGGTCGACAGACAGTCTGTTGTTAATGAGTTTGAGATTTTAATCGAAGCCGCTCTTCACAATTTAGCCCAACTTAGAAATCCTTATTTGAGGATATATCAATCATTTAATTGGAGCACATCTACTCTAATAGTCACTGATTCTTACTGAACGATATAAGGTAAGAAATAACATCGATTCGTCGTAGAATTCGCAGAATATGCGTGTTATTTAAGTAAACAATATATGCAGAGTGATAATTCAAGGGTCTTAGAAAGAAGTAAAATCGAATACTTTCGATTCATCAATTGAAAAGAGTGTTTGACATTACATGTAATGGGTTAATGGACCAGCCAGCGGGAAAGCCATATTCACAAAGCGAGATATGCAGTTTTTGGTTGGGACGAAACGTTGACACTTTGTTGTAATTGACGACTTGAAGCGTTCTTCTAATAATTTCAGCTCAACAAAGGAATCTCGACTTTAGGACTTCAAGCATTTAGTAATCTAAGTCTAATTGGACCTAATTGAACCAAGCCTTATATTCTAATGGTCGCTGGTACTGACTGAACGGTAAGAGATAACATATCGATAAACGACAAACATAGACAACGGAAGACAAAAGCGCTTGAATACTTTCTTCCATGACATTAAAACTAAACTAGCGATTTTTATCAAAAGTAAGTGCTGCGATGCTTGAGAAAGACAATCGTGTATGAAAAGTTTTTATCGTGTATATTAATAGCAGTATTAATAGTAATCTAGACCGAACTGGGTCAAGCCCTGGCAGACGTGATTTATATATCATTAGATACTGGTTTAGACCGCTGACTGCGTGACATGAACATGTCAGTCCATAGACTATAGGTATGACCTCATGCCTTAGACGTTCACCGGAGGTCATAAGACATAGCATAGACCAATAAGAATAGAACACATTTCAACTACTACTAGTATACCTTTAGCAATATTGTGCAATAGGCACACTATAATTTAGCCATTCGGTGTATCGGGGCAATCAAAGAAGAAAACGAAMCATTAATACTACGACGGAAAGTCGAAGAAAAGAGAAGGTCAATAGAAAGTTTGAAACAAGCGCAATCCAACGATAACTTGACCTTTGCAACAAGCCCACCGGCCAATGTACAACAACTAAGGCAAATGGAAGCAAGCAGCCCATTGGACGAACTTCTACAATCAATGCAACCATTCCAGCAAGCACAAAGAAGTTCTGCAGGGGTACAAGAATGGACAAGCCAACTAACATCCCAACCCTCAATAGATCAGTCAGCGATGTTTCTACGCCCAGGACGCCTCAAGAAGGGTGAGAAAGCCTTGCAAATAGTTGATTTTATAGACAATTTAGTCCCCCTTGAAGAGGAGGAAACTCKAACAAACCAAGGGTTAGCACAAATAGTCGTAAAATATGTGCCGAAAAAGCCAAAAAATTGCAAACAATTGCACAACTATTTAGCATATACAGTTAAAGTTATGGAATTACAATCTCTCGCCTGYGGCTCGAGATTGTAATTCCCATACAACACGGCCGCTCATGTTGTAAACTATACTAAAGAAATAAAAACAACATTTTCTTTCTTGAAATACATAGTATAAATTTGTTTATTTGATATTATGATAATATAAACTTGATAGTTTGCTTTTAGTTAGTCATTTGTTTATCTGATGTTATGCTAATATTAATAGTACTTGATCAGTCTAAGAGTTGATTCTATAAATCAAAATTGGTACATCTTATCAATGATAATTTGCTATAACTTAAGTAATGATTAATATATTATCAAATATAATAAATAAAGTAGCCTAGAAAGATGTCCAAACGTAAAGCACAAATAAACTAGTATGAGAATTGTTATATACTTTCTCTCTTTGTAATTCCGTCATATACTATGATAGTATCATTTCTAAAACCAAAAAGATTTGTTTTTAATAGAACGATTTCACATAACCGGATAAAAAATGCTTATACACATTACACGATCAGAAAAGCTTGTATTAAATTGTTGTCCTTGTTTGTGAAAAACTAGACACAAAAATGTTTTGATTTTTTTTTCGCGTTACGAAGTGTTTTTCCTTAGTGTGCACATTGGAATGTTTGTAAAAGCAAACAAATTTTTGATTTGYGTAATTTTGGCTGCTTAAGTTCTCGTTTTGTTAAAGCTAAAGACAATGAACGTCAGCGTGCTTGAATACAAGTTTGTCTTAGAAATGCTACCAAAAGTGCAAKGGGAATGACTGGGATAGCGTTGTTGCGCTGTGCAAGGCAACGATAGTCAACACTGGTCTCCCAGATCGAGTTGTTCCATAGTTTTACTTTAAGAGTGGTAATGAGCAATTAATCACRAGACTGAAAGGGATAATCAAAAAGGCCATTTCTGATCCAGTACACACCACATCACAGTGCAAATMAATTGTGACAGAACTACCAGAACCAGAAGATAATTCAAAACAAGACTTAGAAATTAAATAGGCAGGCAAGAAGACGCCTAAAGAGAGGAGAAATGATGCCGTGAAGACAAATCTTGAGTGTGATTTTGAATGTTTGTTATGATTTAATTGTTATTTAAAACATATCTGAACGTCAAATAAGTAAAACATTCATCAATATCCTCGTTGTTCCACGTGTAATATTGTGTTTTGTGTATTAGCATAAATTGATCCTCAATAGCATTTTTTTATCCGGTTATGTGAAATCGTTCTATTGACCCGCGAAACAAAATGTTATGATTCAAAAACTCATACATAATTAATGACTTATAAGGCCAATAGAACGAGCCTATTTTGTCACATGAATGGACCTTTATATCTGATAAAACACTCCTTATTAGTATTCTTTAGAATAGGTTTGAAAACTCATCATTGACCAATGCAGGATACATGTCAACTCATTGGACATGTTCACACTACAACATAATCATGTCGAAATGAAGTTAAGCGTTCATCGATATAAGCATAGAAAGCAGCATAAAGTAGAGCATAAGCTAATCAAAGACAAAAGTAGTAAGCAATGGACCACTCGAGSCATGTCCAGTAGGTGGTAGCTAGGTGGTAGGTGTTATGCTAATGAGGCAAAATTGATAGGGTAGGGGTGGTCAAAACGAGTAGGTGGTAACTGATTATCATAAAATTGTRGGCAGTCTAATTATGCCTATTTGTGTTCTCAATCTAATTATGCAACTTATTTGAGGACAATCTAATCATGCAACTTATTTGAGGACAATCTAATTATGCAACTTATTTGTGGGCAATCTAATTATGCAATGTTGGTAATACTTTATGCCAAGGTCCAACGATCGCAGAAATTACTATCTGAAGAAAAGGTTAATGATTACCTTTGTTCTGAGACAATAGGTCACCTACTAAAGGAGTTTTAAATAACCAAACACTATGATTTTCAACCYATTTATATATCTAACTAATGATAACTATACCTCACTTTTATTACTGTAAAGGCATTTATTAATTGAAAAACTTTCGAGAGGCCCAGAAAAGTCCGGAAAGTACCGAAGCTGTCCTGATGGCCCGGAAATGGCCCTAGGGTTTTACAAATCGGGCATGTTAAAATCATATTGAAGTGAGGAGATGGATTTTATAGAGCATCGTGCCAATGACATTTCGGGCATGATCACAACGCTTTTTGTCATTTGGATTTTCTTCTTCACTTTCTTGTTCTGAATTTTTACCCTTGTGCTCTTCATCTTCTTCCAAAGCTTCTGAATCTTCCGAATTGTAGATAGCTGTGGTTGTTCTTCACCACTTAAAACATGATAGTAAAATGATTTAAGCTTATATTTTTTCTTCCTTCTATATGATCGAAGTGATAAGGTTAACGATGATTGGCTCTCACTTAGAACGAGCACAAGTTCTAATGTTTAAACTACAGTCGTAGGCTAGAGATCTATTGTTTGCGCTACAGTTTTAGGTTACAGATCTATTGTTTAAAATACTGTTGTTGGCTACAGATCTATTGTTTACGCTACAATTTTAGGCTACATTTCCATTGGATAAACACAGTAACCAAGCATTTGACTTAAAGTATATAACACCAATGTTTCAGTTTTTCTTCATTTTCCATTTATTCAACAAAAATTGGGGGTCACGTGATCAGCTTTTCTGACACCTCGTTGGAACCTTTAGGGCTACGACTATGGTAGGGTTAGGTTTAGGGTCGCTGTGATAGGTTTAGGGTTAAGATTTAGCTAGGTTTAGAAGTGGCTTAGGKTTAGAGTTGGGACTAGGTTAAGGGTTTTTGGCTAGTCACTTGACCAGCCACTCCCAACCAACTTTGACACCACTTCCGAATTTCGTACTGACATATGACTATGCTCAACTATCTAGAGTTCTTTGGTGATAAGTATGTTCAAAGATTACCACCCCTGATACTTCGTTTCCAGGCCATTTTAAGACCATTCTCGAAATTCAGGTTTTTCAAAGTTAATCCCACCTAGCTCTGCACTAAGTGCTTGGACTTTGCTCAAACTTTGTAGAAATAAGGTTATGAACAAAACTGACTTGATTGGGAAGGTTTGAAGCTAAAAGTCTAAAAAATTGTGAAAAAATATTTTTTTGGATAACCCTTTAACGTCCGCTTTAGGGATTATCGTTCCTGCAGGAACGATACTTCTAAAAATTACAAGTTTCCGAGATCGCAAAAGTAAACCACCAAATGTACTCCATGAAAACAGCTAGTAATATAACTCTATCTTAGAGTTAAAAAGATTTCACAACAAGCGCGATACTTGGGCAAAATGGACCCCTGGAAAATAGGAATGCCCAGATTTCGACTATTTGGTACACCGACAAGACTGGGAATCACGTCTTTTCGTCTCCAGTTTTAGAGTCGAAATCATCTTTTGC